AAAAATTAAATTGAAAACAATATAAAAACACAAAAATGTTAATGCATTTATTATATAAATGATTTCATATCCTAGATATTTAATTAAATCAAAATATAAAGCATAAAAATAATATTTTAGATAAAGTAATTTCTTTATCGTGGAATTAAAGATATAAAATATTCCATATATTGTTTATAATTAAAAAAATTGGATTTATCCATAAATCAATATATAAGAATGTAGCAGATTAACTTGTTTATGATTCATTCAGGAGGAAAACTTTCAAATAATATTTTATGTGCATTTAATAATGCACAAACTACGACTTTCATAGCAAAAATTAAGAACAAAATTAGAGTTAATTATAAGTTAATGTTTAATAAAATAATATTTTCTCTACAATTTAATTTTTGTCACTATATAATAATTTTTCATTTTGATCAGTCGAAATAATAAATAATACACATTATGAATCACTGGATTCTTAAATTATATAGTTTATTATATAATATTAAGATTATCCTTTAAAATATTGAAGAAAATTTTAAAAATTCTATTTACACTCAATGATATTTTGGCTTTACTTAAAGTTGTTTATGAAAGAATGATTACTGTACTAAAAAAAAATACATTTTTAAAGAATTAAATTTAATTTATGACACTTACACTTATTAATCCATTTAAGAGAGAGAAAATTTTGAGAAAGTTTTAGAAAATGTAATATTTAAAAGCCATTTCGTAGGAAATAAGAACAAAAAAGAAAAAACAAAGTTTAATGGAACTTAGCCATTATCGTGTTTTCAGTATCATTAAACATTGCATTTCTTTAATGTCAATGAAAATTGTACTCATAAATTTGTTTATTTTAAAAAGTAAAATAATGAAAATATTTATAATTACACTAATTTTTTTAAAAATCTTCTTAAAGTAACTTTATAGATAAAGCTATTACTAAGTAAAAATCGATGCAAATTAGAATTTACACAATCAACTAGAAGAAAAAGAAATTATTATAAAAAAAATTTTAATATTTTAAAATATATGAGCTTATTACTTCACATTAATATATTAAATGAGATCTGTAGTGAGTTTGCCAACATCAAAAGAGAACAGACAAACATAGTGTAAAAAAAAAACTTAAGGGTATCTCAAAAGATTTGTTCATTTGGAGAGAATGGAAATTGTTGAGAGATACGAGATTATTAAAAATAATAAAAATTCATTTAGAGTTATTATTATACTTTTTGAAATAAAAAAATATTTCTTATTTATTTGGAATAATTCGGTTAAAGACTCGAATGATTTTAATAATAAGTTTAATTAAAATTTTTAATTTAAACTTAACTTAGGCTTATAATAAAATAATAAAACCAAGCTTTCACTTTTTAGACATTTATCCAAATTAATCTAGTCAAAAACTTTAAATGATAAAAATTTTACACGTATTAGCAAAAAAATTCCAAACATAAATATCTGAAGTAAATCAGGATTTATATGTGTTTGAAAATAAATCATAATGATTTATTCTTAAACACATAAAAATTCTGAAAATATTCTAAGGTTTTTGATTATCTCTTGCTTAGTTTCTATAGTGAACACAGTTCTTGACACTCCACTCTTTTTAGGCTCCATAATATTATTAATTTTTTAATAAAAAAAATATTCAGAAAAGCACTTACAAAAATTCAGAGAACAGAAATTAACTAGTGAAAAAAGGTTATGTATATAACTGTGAAAGTCTCGTTCCATAAACCATTCATAGATGTCATTAAAAATATAATTTTACAAATCTTAAACGTAACGTCGATTCTTGTGTTTTTTCAGTCAGTTGTTCGTTATCCGAACATAAAAATCTTTCTCGAAAGTGTTTGTTCGCAGTCCGAACTGTTCGTTAACCGATCACCCACTGTATTGTATAGGCTAGCAGGCCACACACATATATAACTACTGTATATTGACTATATTTTTAGTTTAAGTGGATCATTTGAAGAAATATATTAATGTTGAAGTAACGATATTAAGTATTTTAATATGTATTTTTGTTTGAAATTCTTAAAAGTCACTTCGTATTGAAATACTATTGATAAAAATTATTTTAAATATAGAAGGATCGAAGGTTCAAAATAAGAGTTAAAAAATAACATTATTTATTAATTTTATGAAAGTTTTCTATCAAGCTTTTACTTTAATAATAGATTTCTATATTTACTGCTTAAAAGTTTTAAGAGTAAACAAATATATTAATGTAAACACTATTAAAAGCATATTTGTTTATATTAGAAAGTAGCAACTTCAAACTTAAAATTATTCATATTAATAATTTTTAATAATATTTAATTTAACATTAGAACAATAAAAATTCTATTTTCTAACGATAACAAGAGTACGAAATGAAAATTCTATTGCATAATATTTTGATTAGTTATAAATGTAAATATATTAAGTTAAATATAAAATTTATTATAATCTTTTTAATTATTTACAAGATAAAAATTTAAAAATACATTTAAGATATTTGTACAAAACAATAAACCATATAATAATTGAAGATATTTAATTAATGTTGTCTGAAAGCATCGATCATGTTATATGCTGTGTAACCTAAATGTCATCTAGTAGGATAATTTAATCATTTCATAAACCTTGATTCAAATTAAGACTTTTAATACAGTTTTCCAAGCTTTAATTATTGTATATTATTTCTTTTAATTAAAAATTATATATACACTTAACTGTTTAATTTAGTTTAAACATATTTTATAAGGAAACTATAATTAATTAATATATTATTTTTCTTATTTTTATTAATTATATTTATATTAGTTAAATATGAATATATAATACAAATATCTTATATACTTCTCTTAGAAATAGCATCTGTCAAAATTTATCTAATTAAGCATTAAAATATTTTAAGAACTTGCTTAATTTTATTTGCAGTAATGATTTTCGCTTAATTTAAGTTTATGACATATTGATATTAAAAATTTAGTAATTAATTTGATTAAAACACTGAAAGCATCAATATATGTATGAAATGGAAAATTTTTCCATTAATTTTCATTGAGAAGCTTTGATAAGTAAAGCGCGTTATATTCCTCTAAAAGAGATAAAAGAAANATCTTATTAAGTAAAATACATTTTTCCCTGAATAATAAATGTAGTATAACAAGGAAATTTTTTTTCTTTGTAAGAAAAACAATAAAATGAAATAGAATTTTACCTATCATTAAAATATATAATTCAGAAGGCTTCTAATTATGATATTCTCCAAGCGTGAATAGTAGAGGTTATCTGATCAAAGCTTTCAGGAAAATCGGCTTTTATTGGATTGCTATGGTTCTCTTTGTTAACCTTATTATGTTAGATTTGTGCCTTAGGTAGCAAATCTCTAATACTAAGTAGTCTGCTGAATAGTGTTTTAATGAGGAAAGTACACAGATTATTTTAACATCAAAAATCACAATTTTTACTCTTCAAAACGTTTTAGATATATATATTAATATTGTATATCTGGGTTTCGCTGTAACATTAATATTTTATATTCAGATATTTTGGCTTGAGCACTGTAGTAACCGGGTTATATGACAAGCATTACTGATCACACTCTTACTTCCATGAATCCTAACCCTTTTCTTTTCATCCCCTCTCCTTTCTCACCCCCACCCCATCTTCCCCCTTTTTCCATAACACAGGTCGTACCAAAGAGTGATACCTGTCTTACTACTACTACTACTACTACTACTACTACTACTACTACTACTACTACTTCTTCTTCTTCTTGAAGAGATATATAAAAGAATATTGATAAAATACGATCAAGACCGATTAAAAATTATACTTTAGTATTTATTGCAGTGTAATATATTAATATTTTTTTATAAATTTGATATACCGGTGTAATAAATTTATATCGACAAGGTAAAAATTATTAACCTTCAACAGTGTTTTTGAATCAATATAACGGAGTCAGTAATATTATAACGTTTCTATATTATACAAGGAAATCATACACTTACAACTATTGAAAAACATTGTTTTAAATTAAACTAATGAATCGCGAATTCAGTTATTTAAATTTAAAACAGTTTACTTTCATTTACTTCATCAATTAGTTAATAATGACGCCGTTTCAGTAACACATTTCTTAGAATGGACGGCAAATACTGGCAATAAAGAACAATAAAAGTAATTTAGAGATTACGACAGTGATTTCTTTAAAGAGAAACCTCTATAACAATTATAGATTAGATCTTTTAAGAAGTTCTAAATTTCCTGCCAAATCAGATAAGTTTCTTTTCTTCTCCAGAAATTTATCTAGAGAAACATTAAATGACTTAAAAGTTTAGGAAAGAAATAAAAATTATTTTAAATTAGCTTTCATATTAGATATTCATTATTAATGTAAGGTGACATTTTTGATATCAATTTATCTCATAATTAAATTTTTATGATAATATCTTCATTATAATTTTCAATTTTAATATAATTAATAATATATAGCTTAAAATTCTTTTATAAAGTTAATAAAAGCTTTTAATATTATTAAAAGAAAAACACTAGAAAAAAAAATTTTGATAGCTACCAACTGAGACAAGTAGTAATGAAAATTAAGTTTAAAGTGACTTAAAAGACTTAAAAATATCCTAAAATTAATTTTAGAATTTTGAAAAAAATAAAACTATAATAGTTTGTTAGTACAAGATATAAACTCCAGATGGCGTTACAGAATTGCCTTTTGAACGATTTGAAAAGTAATAATAATAATAATAATTTTATATAGAAACTATTTCTTTTCAGCAAAATTTCTACATTAAAGTGGATTTAAAAAATAAACATTATATATTTATTATAAATAAATACATTTTTCAAGATAAATTTTTATATTTTCCGTCATTTTTATAGAACTAAAATATTAATTTTTTTCTGCTGGCATTATATAATGTGGCCTACTTTATATTATAAATAATCAATAATTGCACTTAAAGAAAGAGAAAATTTAATAAAAGTTTGCTTACACTCTCATTTCTTGTTGGTTGACAGCTCTTACTAGAGGGGTCCTTACAGCCCCACATGGCAATAGAGGTTGAGTTTCAGGCACCGAACTCTGTGGTGGTGATAAAGTTGGCTTCGGTGGAACTTTGGGCGGAACATTATTAATTGATTCAGCCTGTATAGGTTGAGTTGCAGGATAGATTTGAGACTGACCAGCAGGAGAAGGAGGTGGAGCCCTTATAGAAGTTTTGTTTGGTGCAATGCCTGGAATGTTTTGTTCGCCTTCATTTGGCTTATGAACCTAATAAATTAAATTAAATTCGTTTTTACTATATGAATTAATTACATTATGATACGAGTTATTTTTATAACTTCAAACCTTATAATTTCGCTTCTGTAATTTTGCTTCCAACCTATTTTTATCTCTCTGATAATAAACGCCAGCAAATATGAGAACATTTAAGATTAAAAGTGAGCATCCGACGGCTATAGTTACGCTTAGAGCCGTAGAGTAACGACCATATTGCATCACCACAGCCATAGACTCCGAAGTATTCGGAACCTGAGCTGTGGGATGATCCGAAGTAGGTGGAGGAGTATCTGAAATACTGCTTTCATTTCCGCCACCTTTCGGAGTAGCTATGGATATTCCGGGTATTTGAGATATGGTAGAAGTTGGTGAGGGAGGCGGAGGATAGCGAACTTCACGTACGTGACCATCGTAAGTGAGAAGGTTATCGTGATCTTGCAACCGGTGATGCTGTAGTGAAGTAACTGTGCTTCCTGCTTGGTGCAGCTTCGGTATTAATTGCAACCATAACGAGAGACGATGTGCATGATAATGATCTCTAACCTTAGGTTTCATACCTGTTCAAATTGTTAATGAATTTATAATTATTTTGAACATTATTCGCATTCATAGATAAATTATAAATTTAAGCAACACAATAAATATGAAAATATGATTATTAATAAAAAATAATAAATTTACAAAGAATTATTAGGAAATAAAACATATATATTAACTTCTGAATTTTTAGTACTTACTACAACAAAATTTCTATATGATAGGGATTTATTTTATTAAAATGTTAATGGAAAATAAAATCTAATTGTTAGTATTTTAAAATGAAATAGAATTGACAAAGAAAATACACAATAAAAAATTGAATGACGAAGAGAATTAAAAGAAAGAAAATTTCTACTCGAAGATTAGAGAGAATCGAATCGAGATGAAATAGATTACAAGTGAAAAGAAGAAATAGAATAAAGTATTGAACTTAATAATATATATCATTCCAAACACAAAAAATAAATGATTTTCAAATGTAGCGTCATATTTTTATCTTATTAAGTAAAATACATTTTTCCCTGAATAATAAATGTAGTATAACAAGGAAATTTTTTTTCTTTGTAAGAAAAACAATAAAATGAAATAGAATTTTACCTATCATTAAATATTTTTGATGTACATCTTCATATCTGGGCCACATGAAGCGCTCGAATCTCCCTCTTCCTCTTTCAGAAGTCGAATCAATCTCGTGTGCGTGAATGTTTGGGTCACTGCAAGATTAAAAGAGTAAAAATTATATACCGAATAAGTATTCGTTGTTGATTAAATATAATTAAATTGAACTAATTAATGACACTCGAGTTTAAACTCATTAAATTGTTAAGTAAATGAAAAGGAAAAAAAAGAAAGAGAATTTATGGAGGAAGCAAAAGAAGACAGAGTTTCTGGTTTCATTCGTAAATTACTGTATTTGTATTGAAGGATGTACTCGTTTATAAATATTACTTAACTGAAACAAATGTAACTAAAATTGATTGTATTGTTTCAAGATAAAAATATTTAAATTATTCTCAAAAATATAAATTAGCATATTAATTGGATTTTGACGTTTCGTTTATAAATTTTATTGTTTCTAAATTTTTATTAAATTACTGTATTACAAAAATTTAAAAATTTCAAGTTTATATGAAAATTGAAGTTACACAATGTACTTAACTGAAATATTTTCAACAGAATTTAAAGTGCAGATTAAATAAGTAATGTTAATTATGTTAAAATCACACAAAGAGAATATGAAAATAATATTGTCAAATATTTTCTCTTACGTTAAATATTATCATATTATTAATTATTTTATTTCATTGGATGAGGATAATTAAATTTAGAGTAGATATACAATCTATAGTAAATAAGCTTATTCAATTTTCATGATTAAATTTAATATATTTAAATTCCTATATTCAAATAAGCTATATCTACTTTTAAATTATTATCCACAATTTTTATACAATGAAGTATTCATGAAAACAATGGAATATTTTTTAAAAATTCATACATTCTTTATTGATTATAAGAAAATATAATGTTTTATCAAAATAACAAAAATTTTATATTAATATTTCAATATCAGATAACTGTTACAATAAATTGTATCATAACAAATATAAAGTTATGTAAGCAAGATGCAATATGTTTAACAGCAATGTTTATTTTGTACTATCTGAAAGACAATTTCAGATAAATTAATCTAAAGTAAACTTTTTTTACTTATATGAAATTATTATTATTATAGGCGTATAACTTTCTTTTATTGTNTATAACATACCTTCTATTCTATTTAATAATAACATATAAAAATGATTTACTCTGTATACTCCATTTTTATTGCTGTGTGATTAAAAATAAATTATTCACTTATTTATTACAAAATATTGGAAGAGTTATTATAGTACTATTGATGCATGTCATACATAATTCCGGAAAAAGGAAACGTGATCAGACAACAGAAATGAAATATTAAAACTTCCATATTCCAGTATATTTTTAGTTCAAACAAAGTCTGAAATTATAATGAGTAGAACATTTTTTAACAGCGGGTAAACTTTATTTACCTTCCTTCTCATACATTAGCATCACTTTAAATTATTAACACCTATAATCTAACGAAACTATAAAACAATAGAAAGCAATTAACGTTGAATTTTATTGCTTTATAACGCAGCAACTGCATTAAATCTCGCGCTAAGACACTTTGATAGTTATTTTAGAATATTCATTACCTATAACTGGATATGGGAAAAGAGAAAGTCATTAAGTAGCATTTGTTATCTTGATTAATTATATACACAAAATAACATTGTACAATCATTAGCTACTGAATATTATAGAATAAATTAGCCCGTCCTATTTCTCGTTAAAATTGATAAAAATAAGAGAAAAAATTTTTATGAAATTTACTTTATATTCTGACTAACAAATTAGGAAATTTAATGAGATCGATTACCGAAAGTTTTGTTTACGTAATGAAACCAATGCAGTGACAATTACGATATAGACAACGTGCGTTTGCGGTAATAAAACAAACTGTTCCGAAATTATCATAATTTAGACTTAAATCCCCCAGACTAGAATGTAAATTGCTTCTATTATAGACGTTAATGATACTTTTGCTGCAAAAATTGTAGCACAAACGACGATTATCGATTAATACAACCGTTTAATAATAATTCCAGGCAAAAATAAATGGAATAATATTACTGCTAGATTAAATATATTTACTAATAATTCTATTACCAGATTTTATATTAGATATCGTTATCAAAAATAATGATTTTTGTCGTTATTCATTGCGAAAATAATCATTTCGTCTAATAATATAATGGTGATAAATGTACAATAATTAAATAAATAAATAAAGTAGAAAAATAATGTTGCCCATTAATATACTACATGTATTTAACTTATATATATATAGAACAATACTAAAAGAACATTATTAGATTTAACACATTGGCAATTTTATTTTAATAATTCAATAAAATATTATAAATTTTATCAAACTATAACAATTATTTTGCCATTTATGTGGTTAATAATCATAAAATAAACCTCAAACTGTCAATATTGTTTTGAGAATTGTCATTTTTTTTAAAACAACTTAAAATTGGTTTTAAAAAATAATCTTTTAAACACAAATTATTAAAAATTGCAATTTTATCGAAAATTTAATGATTAAAGAATATTATTGAAGTTATGCTCCACTAGTTTAGTTTTATTGAATCTGATAGAGGAAAAAGAAATGAAAATGAAANTGTTTTTCTTTTAAATATTAATATAAATTTTAGCACGTTTTTAATTTTATTAAAACGAAAAATTATTTATGGATCAATATCATAATCAGTGTAAGTTGATACTGGATAAATATATATCAATTTTGATTTTGATTAATGTGTACTTAAAAAAAATATATATATATTTTCTGCTCGGGATACCGTCATGAATTTCATACTTGCTAATGCAAACCATTTTGGTATTATAATTGAACAAAAATAGCAAGTTATATCAAGAGTTTTTTCCCCCTTGAAGAATGTACATCATTTATTTCAAATTATCTGAAAGAAAAAATATGTTTCTTTTTTCTTACGTCTTCTTCAGTGCTAAAGTGTATATGTTAGATGCTATTCCAGGTTTTAATTTTTTTAAAAATCTGCTTGTAATTAAGGCGATGTCATTCGCATTTTCAAGCTTAAACAGCTATTCAAAAATTTCCTTAGTTTTATTATTTGATTAACTTTAAAAAAAAGTAATTAAAAAAAACTGAAAGCAGAAAAATTAAGGTAATTTAAAATGATAAATATTAATTTGAATTATTATACTTTAATAAAATAACGATATTCCTACGCAATTTCTTTAATAAAATTTAAATATTTATCAATGTAATGTAGTTAATAAAGATGTAATGACTTATTTTATTTAGATAATTACGTAACTAAATATAATACAAAAGAATTAATGAAGAAAGAAAAGACAAGTTAATTATGTTTGAGAGTAATTTACTCATTTATTTTTAAAATTTTTTGTAAGTGTCATTATAAATAATATAAATGTGTATGAGTATATCTATGTGTAATAAATATTCTTAATTATGAAACTAACTCAGATAATAACAGTAAAAACTTTCACAAGAATGCTTAATGCCTTAAGTTGCTTAAAACGGGCAGTTTCTTAAATAAAAAATCCTTTTGAGTTTATAAACAGAGTATTTGGTAGCTTATTTTAATTAAACATACAGTCATAAAGATTAACATATTAAACTATTATTTCAACTAATATTATAAAGCTTAAATGTAACAAGATTTCTCGTTTTAATTTATGATATAGAAAATATTTTTCAGCCTTATTAATAATTCTTAAATGTAAACATTAAATTATGTTGTAAGTGTAGTTTCTGTGTTCATAACAACAGAGAATAAATTTTAAGGATCGAAAAAACTTGTTTTATATATTTTCTTTCGTCTATTTTAATTACAGTTTATTAACGTGTCAATAATTTTCAGAAATAATATTATTCTATGTATTAAGATGGTTTAATATTTAAATGACCTATAAAACTTGTTTGTTTTTAAATGTAACATTTTATTAAAATAATAGTAAAAATAAGTGCAATAATAAAAGTATGAGTCAGAGATACAACATTTACAAAGTAATTAACTTATGATTAAACAATATTAAAACGTGCTTTAAATAGCTAGGAAGCACGATTAACAAAATGAAAAAATCCAGCAAGGAGTTGCTTAACTTTCCCGGTAATATTTAAAACTACGTGTTGCCGAACTGTTATGATATGTTAGTAAAAAGAAGTTTTCTATTTTTAACCATTATAAAATAGCAAAAAGTTTAATTTTGAAGGTAGGGGTGGGTTTTATAAAGAATAAAAAAACAATTGTAAATGCTAATAACGAGTAAAATCGTCTTTACATCCGACTCTACCGAAGATACACACGACCCCTATTATCACCCCACTCCCTCGAGTTTTAGTAACCAAAATTTAACAGCATCAATCCCCTTCCTGCAAAATTTCAGAAATTTTCGACAAAAAGCACAGGAGTTATTAAGCTTCAAACAGGGTGAACAAAATCGTTTCACACATACTAACATCTATGCATACATACAGCAATTATCCCCCGAATTTTTTGCATTTCTCGATGTTTCAAGGTGTCCTGAGCTCAAAAATGTAAAAATCTGTAAGGGGAGTAATTTTTTCCGGATCGTCATACGTTTCTTCTGTATAATAGCCGAAAAATAAAAATTAATGAATGAAGAAATATCGAAAGTAAAACTTTAAAACCATAAAATATTAACAGAAATATCAATTGATTAATTAAAATCGGATTTTACGTGTTATTTATTTTTTATTGTTATATAGGAAGTCTCAAATGTTAGTTAACCGAGATTTTACCGAGATGGTTAATTAAATATTGGCCCTTCTATATTTGATAAAATTATATTTTTAATGTATAATAGCCTCAATAATTTACAGTCGCAATAATTTATGCAAATCCCTATATATGAAAATACTGAATTTATAAAATTCAACATTTTCATATGTAGGAATACACACACACACACATGTATATATAATAAACAATACACATATACATATGTATATTAATTGTTTATTATTAAACAATAACTGATACGTAAACTAAAAAATAATATTAATGTTTTACGTCTCAACGAAGAGTGAATATCGAGTCACACTGTACAAATA